CGTAAATGGATGAAGTCTGTTCAAAGCATTGATATTTTTTTGATTTATAGATGTTCATCAATGAAAACTAAATTAAAGTTTTTGAGATCTTCACTTTATTCGAGATGAAGAACGAATATACAAGCATTTGAACAATATTGCTTACATCCATCTATGTCATGTTGACGTAACATGTACGCTTCATTTGCTAGAGTCGTCATATTATATCAGATTTATTGAGTTTTGATTTTAGTGAATGTAAGGTTTCTAATAATGAGAAGATGTCATCAGAATGATTTTCTCTCTTGTTTATTTGACTTCTTTGAAATTACCTGACACTCATTAACAAGAGCAGATTTAGTCGTGTTTATTGAATTTTGTAATTAACTTGATGTGCTTATCAAATGGCTATATAAACACACTTTGATATCATGAGAAAAAAACTAAATAAAATGCTGTAAATGGCATATTTATTCAAACATGACATGTTGTTCAGTATGTAACACAGGAATTAAAAAAGAAACAAATCTAGTTTTGTTGTTTTTTTTGTAATTTCAAATTTTACATTTCTTTGTCTCTATTGCTTATTCAGGATGAGCTTACGATGCAATTCAGAGGAATTAAATTAGATAAAAAAGACTTTTTCGGGAAATCAGATCCATATCTTGTGTTCCATCGATGTAATGAAGACAATACGTAAGTGTCGTAAAGTTCTATTTGATGCTCTTGATGGATCAATAAATGGGACGTGGTCACTTTATTCAAAGTCTTCAAAGACATTATTCTAATAAACAACAGGGGTCTTATAAATACAGTTTTGTCTATAAAGGGCAGTATACAATCTGCCTCATATTGTCTATCATTATAAATACAGATACAGTTTTTCTCAAGTTCAAAGTCATATACAGTAGTAATACATATTTATGTTTGTGGATATTTTCAGGTTTACAATCTGTCATAAAACTGAGGTTATAAAGAACACACTGAATCCGACATGGAAACCGTTTCGTCTCTCGGCTAGGGCATTGTGTAATGGCGATTATGACAGGACAATAAAAATAGAATGTTACGACTGGGATAGTGACGGAGGGTGAGTTAATACACTATATCAAATATTTGTGAGTACAGCATATCTGTATATTTTCACCACTTTTAGCATACCCCCGGTACTTATACTCAATGGCTTTGTCATAACACTCAATCCTAATTATATCAAAATATTTGAGAATATTGAGACCAGTAGCTTTATTTCATATAAGCAGTGTTTCATCCAAGCACATTTTTACTGGGAAATGTTGTGATTTCATCTCAAAAATATCCTTCAATAAAGTGCATGTGAATACAATATACAAAGTGTTTCTTAGACTTAGACTTAGACTTGTATTTCACTGAGAAACCTGGGCTCTGACTCAGAAAATAAGTCTTGTAGGGAACACTGGGTCTTGGGAATATTATGTCAAATATTTAATGATATGAATATGCATGAATTGCAGAAATTTTGTTTCAAATTCACTAAATTTGCTGATGCATCAAATTAGTGCAGGCTGTATTAGTTACATTAGAACAATATTCAAAAATATTATCAAATATACCAAATGAATACAGTTAAGCCTGAACGATCTGTCTATTTAGAGCTTAAGAAAAATATCCCAGAATCTAACAATAATATGTATTCAAGTCTTTCATATGCCTTCCATAATTTAATAATATTTCCATAATAAGGTTGTAATATTTTAGTCTGTTTGATGACAACTGTAAAACTATCGTCCAGGTAGATGTGTTTGTGATTTGATTAGGGGATGGAAATCACAGTAAAATCCCTGCTACAAAATTGCATGCGTATTCTTGATTCACAAAATTCATAATTCGTCTCAAATGCAGCTTACAGTTTATGTTTATTGTTAAATATATATTTAGTTTATAGATACCGGTAGTTATGCATGTTAGTGTTTATATTGTGATGAAGTTCTTGTTTTCTTACATGTTAATGTATTTGTATTGTGCTGCCTTAGTAGCCATGACTTTATTGGTGAGTTTACTACAAATGCCAGGCAGCTAACTCAAGGTCCTGGACACATTAACAGTTATGAAGTAAGTGAATTATAGTGGTTTTGTTTTGATAATATACTTGACATACTGAATATACTTTCTCTTACATTGATGTATATTAGCTTCCCTTATGCACAGCCTTACATGTACCTTTTGATCACAGAAGTGTTTTCTGTCAAATTTATTGTATTGTTTTATAATTTCCAACAGGTCTTGATCAAAATTTTAAAATTTCTTGTTTTGTTTTGTGAAAACTGGCAAAAATGTCTGACTCTATGGGTTAAAAATACTGTGAAAACTTTTATTTCGCGAGTGACTAATTTTTTCAAGTGGGGAAATTTTGTACCAGTGAAAATCTCAAGACATGGAGTTCCAACAACTTTAACAAAAATTACCCGGTAGTCTACACAAATATCTTAAAATTATCAACATAAAAAAATCCTAGCAGCAACTTTAACGATAAACTAATGAATACTGTTTGTCTTGATAAAAAGATTCTATTCAAAATTGAAGTAGTTTTTGTGCATTAAAACTATAATTTATATCCCACTGGTGGTGATATTGCTTTGCTTTCTATTATCAATGACCTTAATAATTATAGTGTCACCATATTATGTCCCTGCAGATAATTCTTACAATATTCTGACTATTAAATTGCCAGGTCAATTATTACAGCATTATGACTACACATTAAGTGTATGACATATTCTTTAGTACCATCATCTGCTATGGTTATTGCTGCACTGACAAAAGCCTAGATATTAATGGAGGTTCTGATATGAATGCACATTCTTTTAAATTCACCACAGGTTGTTAATCCGAAAAAGGCTAAAAAGAAGAAGAGCTACAGGAATTCTGGAACAATTGAATTATTAAGCTGTAAAGTTGAACAAATACATTCATTCTTAGATTTCATCAAAGGAGGAACCCAACTGAATTTTACAGTAGCTATAGACTTCACTGCTTCTAATGGTGAGTCATGTTTCTGTATGTGGTCTGTCTGTTATACCAGTAGGCAGTATTATATTGACCTGATAATGTCAAAGTTCAAGAGTCATATTTGCTATTGAGAAATCTAATAATGAACAAGAAGATAAATAAAGATGCATTCAAGCCGAAAGACCTTTATAAGCCGAACAGCTCTGTATACAGAATACCTGTCTAAGCTGAACACCATCTTTGAGTCCCTTCTCCATAGACTTTTGTGTATAAAAGACCTGTATAAGCCGAACACCTCTGTATACAGAATACCTGTCTAAGCTGAACACCATCTTCCAGTCCCTTCTCCATAGACTTTTGTGTATAAAAGGCCTTTATAAGCCGAACACCTCTGTATACAGAATACCTGTCTTAGCTGAACACCATCTTTCAGTCCCTTCTCCATAAACTTGTTTGTATAAAAGACCTTTATAAGCTGAACACTTCTGTATACAGAATATCTGTCTAAGCTGAACACCATATTCCAATCCCTGCTCTATAGACTTGAGCGTATCAAAGACCTTTATAAGCCGAACACCTTTGTATACAGAATACCTGTCTAAGCTGAACACCATCTTCCAGTTCCTTCTCCATAAACTTATGTGTATAAAAGACCTTTATAAGCCGAACACCTCTGTTTACAGAATACCTGTCTAAGCTGAACACCATCTTCCAGTTCCTTCTCCATAGACTTATGTGTATAAAAGACCTTTATAAGCAGAACACCTCTGTATACCAAATACCTGCCTAAGCTGAACACCATCTTCCAGTTCCTTCTCCATAGACTTATGTGTATAAAAGACCTTTATAGGCCGAACACCTCTGTATACAGATTACCTGTCTAAGCTGAACACCCTCTTCCAGTCCTTTCTGCATTCTCCTTTCTGAAATGCAAGCATCTGCAATGCACTTTCTTGAAGCAAATGTTGGTCTCAAAATGCATCCCACCCATTATTGTGCACATCCCTTCCCTGTTACCTGCAAAATGGGCAGAGCATCATCCTTCAATATTTTAATAAACAAATCAAACCTTTTCAAATATAACGTAAAATTCAAATGCATTGTGTCATATTATTGTATGCATGAAAACTGCATTTAATGTTTAAAAGTTGATGAAGGTTATAAAAAGAACCTTCATTTTAACTTCATATTTTATATATACATGCAAATGTACGCCATGCTGTTATCAACTCCTGTCTGTTAAGTCTGTGAGAAATTCTTCTTGATAATAATGTGTTTGTATTCAGGTAATCCAAGTCAACCCACATCATTGCACTATATTAATCCATATGAACCAAATCAGTATGCTAAAGCTTTACAGTCAGTTGGTGAGATTATTCAAGATTACGATAGTGACAAGATGTTTCCTGCATTAGGATTCGGTGCTAGAGTTCCACCAGATGGCAGAGTCTCACATGAATTTTTCTTGGTAAGTTGTTCACTGTAATTTACTTTTATTGCTTTTATAGTGTGATTGAATATTGAATATAATATTGTACTTTTTGCTGTGCTGTATTGACATTAGGTTATGTAGTCATGCTTTAATAATAATATTGTATATTGAAATAAAAGTACTTTTTTTTAAAAAAAGTAATAAATTCATGATAATCTAATCTACTGTTAACTAGAAGAATGAAAAATAATAGATGCCTTGAAATGTACATTATAATGTCTAGATGTATCTTGGTGTAGGTTTCTATAGAAACCACAAGCTTCTAAAATAATTGTTTCTGGTTCTGCTCTTAAACCCCCCCCTCCAAAATTGTGATGTACAAATTGCCACACAATGTAGACCACACACAAAATTTGGGCCTAATAATTGACTCCCATGTGCGAAGCACAAAATGGGAGTCTTTGCAGTTAGTGTGTCTGTATGTGTGTATGTGTGTATGTGTGTCCGACTGTTCCACTGCTATCTCAAGAACCATACATCGTTTTTGATGAAACTTGGTGCATAGATGCTCTGGGCCAATGCGCAGATTTGATTAGGTTTTGGTAAAAATCCATGCTCGTTAATTACCTAATTTGCATGATAATTAGCTAATTTTTAGCTGTTCTATGACTGTTCCACTGATATCTAAAGAACCACTCATTGGATTTTGATGAAACTTGGTACATAGATGCTCTGAACATATGCGCAGATTTGATTAGTTTTTGGTAAAAATCCGTGCATATTAATTACCTAATTTGCATGATAATTAGCTATTTTTTAGTGGTTCCATGACTGTTCCACTGATATCTAAACAACCACTCATTGGATTTTGATGAAACTTGGTACATAGATGCTCTGAACTAATGCTAGGTTTTGATTAGGTTTTGGTAAAAATCCATGCTCGTTAATTACCTAATTTGCATGATAATTAGCTAATTTTTAGCTGTTCTATGACTGTTCCACTGATATCTAAAGAACCACTCATTGGATTTTGATGAAACTTGGTACATAGATGCTCTGAACATATGCGCAGATTTGATTAGTTTTTGGTAAAAATCCGTGCATATTAATTACCTAATTTGCATGATAATTAGCTATTTTTTAGTGGTTCCATGACTGTTCCACTGATATCTAAACAACCACTCATTGGATTTTGATGAAACTTGATACGTAGATGCTCTGAACTAATGCTAGGTTTTGATTAGGTTTTGGTAAAAATCCATGCTCGTTAATTACCTAATTTGCATGATAATTAGTCAATTTTCGGTTTTTCTACTGATATCTCAAGTACTAATCATCACATTTCAATGAAACTTGGTACATAGATGTCATATGACACTGCACAGACCTGATAATTTTTATGGTAATATCAGTACATATAATTACCTAATTTACATAATTAATTAATTTTCAGCTTTTGATATAAGTAGTGAGCATTACATTTCAATGAA